GCTCTTTTTCCTTGCCAGATGAATTTACACATCATTTTATTCAAATTTTGAAAAAATTTCTTGTCTAATTTTATAGGTATACATTGGAACAAAAATAAGATTTTTGGCAACACATTCATTTTAATCATCGCAATTCTGCCCATAAAAGAGAGCTGTAGGTTAGTCCAAATATCAAAGTCTTTTTGAATCTGTTCTATTAACTTATCGTAGTTATCCCTTTTAAGCGTAGCGCATTTGGCAGTCAGTTGTATCCCTAAATATCTAATTTTATTTGTGATTTGAACACCAATTCTGTCAACCAATTCATTTTTCTGTATTTTAGTCATATTTTTAACGAGCATTTTAGTTTTTTCTTTATTTATTTTTAAACCTGCTATTTCCTCATATCTATTCAATGTTTCCATCAGTCTAGTCCCTGATTGTAGTGGTTCTTCAATTATAAAAACTAAATCATCTGCAAAGGCTTGTATTTTAAATGTCTCTTTCTTGATTTCTAAACCTTGGATCTGTTCATCTTGCCGGATTGCTCTAGTTAATACCTCAAGAGATAATATAAATAACAATGGTGATAGTGGGCAACCTTGCCTTGTGCCTTTTTGCATTTGGAAACTCTCAGTCAATTCTCCATTGATTATTACTTTGGCCACCTGCTTAGAGTAAACCGATTTAAACATATTTAAAAATTTTTCCCCAAAGTCCATATACAATAATTGGTTAAACATAAAATCCCATTTTACATTGTCGAATGCTTTTTGGGCATCAAGAAAAATTAAACACATTTGCTTTTCATTATGTACTTCATAATATTCCAATATGTCCAAAACACTCCTAATATTGTTTCTTATATATCTTTTAGATAGAAAGCCGTTTTGATCAATATGTGTAAAATCCACTAAGAACCTTTCCAATCTTTGTGCCATTATTGCCATGAAAATCTTGTAATCTGAATTCAAAAGAGAAATGGGTCTATAGTTCTTAATTTGTGTCAGGTCTGTGTTTTCTTTAGGAATCAACGTGAGGAAGGCTTCTTCCCATGAAGCTGGTATTTTAGCTTGGGTTAAAACCTCATTAAATAAGTCCAACAGCATTGGGCTTAAAGATTCTTGTGCAATTTTATACATTTCTGCAGGTATACCATCTGGTCCAGGTGTTTTATTATTCTTCTGTTTCTTAATTGCGACCGAGAGCTCTAAATGTGTTATCTCTTTATTTAGGAGAGTTTTAAATTCTTCTGGCACCTTGGGTAAATCGACTAATTGTAAATACTGTACTATATCATAGTTATTTCTCTTTTCGTCGTCCTTATATAAATTCTTATAAAACTCATATGCCACTAGCTTTTTTCCTTCGTTCTGGCACACCATATCACCTTTGGCGTTATAAAGGTTAGTAACTCTCTGCTTATTGTTGTGTTTTTTGATTTTATAAGCCAACCATCTCCCTGGTTTATTGGCATTTTCAAAGAAATTTTGTTTAGTACGTTTTATCTGCTGTCCTAGATCTTCCTTCATAATAATATCCATCTTATGTTTAATTAAATCAATCTGTTGTTTCAAATCACATCTTTGTGGTTCATTTTGCAGGTTATCCTCAACTTTACGTAGTTCTTCTTCTAGTTGTCTTTGGCGTTGTGTTTTGATTTTGTGTTGCCTAGCCATATAAGAAATTACAATGCCTCTCATGTAGGCTTTGGTTGTATCCCATAGATTTTGGCAGTTTGTATCCTCCTTCTTGTTTGACTTAAAAAACAGATCCAATTGTTCTTCTAATTTTGATTTGAATTCTTTATGATTTAAGATTGCCCTTTTTAGAGTCCATCTCCTCGTGTTTTTTTGCCCCTTCCATCTAATTCTAATCGGATTGTGATCAGCCCAGGTGTTTGTATCAATTACAATCTCCTCTACTTCTAAATTTAAGTCAGCTGACATCCACACCATATCAATTCTGGACCAAGATTGATGACATCCAGAATAAAAGGTAAACTGTTTTTTCCCAGGATTCCTTTCTCTCCAAATATCCTGTATATTAAACTCATCTACCATTTTTAAGAAAATATCAGATATTGTTCCTCTAATTCTTTTTCTATTCTTTCCACATTTATAATCTAGATTATTATCCACAATTGCACTATAGTCACCCATTATGCAAATGCTATCATGTTCCAACTGGCTAATAATGTTGTAGAGTTTCTTATAGAAGTGTTTTTGCCCCTCATTTGGGGCATAAATTCCAACCAGAAGAATTTTGGTTTTATTCAAAGTTACTTCCACAATTAGAATTCTGCCATCTTCGTCCTTCTAAATTTACTTAGCCACAATTTCTTGTTTAATATATACTACCACACCTCCTTTCTTATATTGCGAAAGTGCTACGAACATATTCCCCAGCTTAGGACAATTTAATAAATATTGATGTTGTTTTTTAATGTGGACTTCTTGTAACATTATTATATCTAAATTCATCTTATTAAGCCTATTGAAAAACTTCTTCCTTTTTGTTGGAGAGTTAAGGCCATTGACGTTGATAGATATAGATTCAACACATTTCTTCCCCTCCTTATCTATGTTTAGATCTAGTTACTATTGCTGGTCTAGACTCTTGAGTTTGTAAATCCTTCCCTCTTTCCACTGTTGATCTTATCGGTCTAGCCTCTTTAATTTCCTTAAACCTACTCTCCTCCTGCTTTCCTTCATTTTTCCCTTCATCAATGTCCTCTCGAAGCTCAACTCTTTTACCTCTAGCTTCAATGGCTTGCACCAGTGTCTCTCCTTCCTCTCTTGCTTCTCTTTCAACTAAATCTTCCTTGCTACCAAAGTTTTCCCTGTAGAATTCCTCTGCTTTTTCTGTTGAGTCTAGGCGAAACTTTTTCTCCTGCCATGTTACCAGAATTCCTTCCGGAGTTAGCCATCTAAAATTGATATTTTTCCTTATCAGTTTGGAAGTTATGTATTGGTAAGGCCTTCTCAGGTCTCTCACTCTTTTGGGTACTTGTTTAAGTACAATCAGCTGTTTACCTCAATATTCCAATGTATCATCTCTGAATCTGAAAAGAACTTCATCCCTAACTGATTTCTTAATAAATCTAATGTGCACTTCTCTGGGAAGATTGTGTCATCTTGCATAATTTGTGTGTATTCTATAGGTTTCATCTATCTCGTTGGCCGTCTCCTCTCTGGTAGACCCCAACGCTCCTGCTAGAATATCTGACATTATTACTGGGAAGTTTTCACCTTTCATCTCTCCTACATTTTGAAACCGTAGATAATGAGCAGCCTTCTCAAGTTCCAAAGAAATAACTGTGGTTTCTAATTCTTTATTGGCTTGAATTAGCCTTTCATTCATTTCATCCACTCTCTGCTCTTCTTTATCCATCCTTTCCTCCATTTCTACTAGTTTTTGTTCATTTTTCATAAGTTGGTGGTGGAAGGATTCAAATTTCCCATCCATAGATTTAATTTTATCTTTAAGTTCACCTGTATCATTCCTTATTTCACCTATTTCTTTTTTCAGATCTTCATGGTTTTTACACATTAACTCTTGCATTGATTGCAGCATTTGTTGCAAGTCTTTAAGTGGGTTTGCCCTATCTTTTTGAGCCATTTCTTCTAGTGATCTTTGCCTAGCAGAACCTGGTTCCAGCAATGTAGTTTGAAGTGTCTGCTTTCTCCCTATTCCAGCCCTTGTAAGATTTGGAGTACTAGACATTTTTTTCAATTTTCCAAACCAACCTCCCCACTTATTTACAATTGTTAAAATGTTTTCCAGGGTATCAAAATTGTTACTAAGAATCAAGAAGTTCTTAACATTACAAGGCAAGGGCAAATTTGCTACAAAGTCTCTTTCCCTAGTAGTTTTTCCCTTCCCACTCTTACAGCAATTCTCGATTTAACCAGCAGGTGTCACTCTAATATTGTCTCTGGTATTAAATTTGTCTATTCATTCCAAAATGTCTACCTCCGTCTTCTTCCAACCGATCTCCCTTGTGCCTTAGAGTAGCTAGCCTTCCAGGGCTAAATTTCAGTCTCTGGAGTAAGGGAAGAAGAAGGACGCCCCCTTTCTCTTCTCCACAAATCCAGCCAACGTAGCAAGTAAGCAGGCAAACCTTTTTAGCCAAACCTTCCTTTTCGCCGCTTTTCCAGGAGCGAGGGAAATCCCTCCTCCCCTCTTGTAGGCTACTAAAGTCAGTAAGTTTCAAGCGAAATCCTCCAGTACGGTCTTACACAGGATCCCTTCTAGCCAGAATCTCTGCTCAGATGAATTTGACTGGAACTGTCATGTCACCGTCCAGCTTTTCCACCGCTAAACTTCGGCCAGCTGACTGCTGTCGTTCCTTCACTGCCGCCATTGTCGGCCGTTTCCCCTTCTCCGCTTGACTTGTCAAAGCTTCTCCTGGGTTCGTGGCTCCTGGCTGCCGCCTGAATCCACTCCCCAGGGCACCTTGTTGTTCCCAGTCCCCCTCCAGGGAACTAGGGACCCCAAAGGATCTGTCAAACAGTCGGGAACGGGGTTAGATGCTTCAGAGAATCGTCCAACACACCCGTTCTTCCTGGCAGCTGGCCCCGCCCCCCGATTCTTTCTTAAAGGAAAATACAAAAACTCCAACTTGCCCGCACGCGCCACTTTCTCCCAGCCCACTCTCCGCCCTCCTATTAACTCTGATCTTGGTCACGTCATCAGGAGCGTCATCACGCCGGAAAAGGTGGCTCGTTGAGGCGGCGTTGGCGCGAGATAGAAAAGTCTGCTTGGAGCTCCCAGTTGGCGCGAGATAGAAAAGTCTGCTTGGAGCTCCCGGGTGGGAGCCAGTGAACGCGCCTGCAGTCGCGCCGGAGTGGCTAAGCGCATTCTGCTTTGGGAAGGTTTAGCGGCATTTTCCGCAGCCCTGGCGGCGGCGGCGGCGGTGGTGGCAAGCCCCTCGGGTCCCGATGGCTCTTTTCGCTAAAGCAAGTCATTTGATAACTTCTGGCTTGTTTTATGATTTTCCTGCAAAGCTGCAAAGCAGAATGTCTCGTCGGGCTCGCTGGTGAGTCGCAGGAAGCCCATGCATTTTGGGAGGGCTACGAAGACGGGGGGGTCCTTCTCCCTCCCGTCTTTTTTGGAGCCAATTCCCACCTTCCTTTTCTCCCCCCCAACCCGAAAGCGCTTGCTCTGTTTCGTCCATTTATCCCGCCTCCCCCTCCCCTCCCGGCCGTGGGTCATGAAGAGAATGAACTTATGGAGCAAACGTGGCAGATGTTTCCATAGGTTTCCAATCTGCTGGGGAGGAGGGGGGGCGCTTCTGGGGAGAGGGGAGCTTAAAATGGCTCTCGTGAAATGCCTGGCCGGCAAGAGGAACCTTTTTTTCCCTCCAGGCTGCGGCTGGGGGGAGGGGAGGGAGAGAAAAATAGGTTGGGCCCTTTTTGTCTTGGAAACATTGCTCGGGGTTGAGAAGGGAAGTGCTCTCCAAACCTGGTTACTTCTCCTTCCAGCCCCAAAGAGTGACTCCTGAGTGAAAATGTTGCCTTAGCTCATGACCTTAATAAGGTCTGCCCTGGGGCAACTAGATTCAAGTTAACAGTTTTAGGGTTTTGATGAAATGGTGAAAAAAAAGCAGTTGAAACCAAAATGATAGTAAGAACTCTGCCTGCAAGAGGTGCTGTAATGATGGAGTCAAGATTTTTTTAAAATCCCAAGGAGTTAAATGCTCTCACTAGGGATTTAGCACATTAGACTCTAATGTGAAGAGCTCAGTTTCAAGCTCTCAAATTAAACAAATATCTTAGCTACTGATCTCATGATAGGTATGAATTTGACTTATTTCCCAGGCTGTTGCAAGGACTCTGGGCAGGTCAATATTTTTACCCTGTTTCTGGTTATGAAAAGCAAGTTAGAATATAGGAAGCTGTAAGCTGTTCAGGCATGGACTTTGGCAAATTTCCAAAGAGAAAATTCCAAGCATGAAGAGAACTGACAGATTTACAAATGAGATCAGTGTTTCTAAAGCTTCATTGTGAAGACATTTTGAAATGTCAGGATGGCTATAGAATGTGTATGTATTTTATTTTCCCTTTGGCTTCCAGTGCAGTGTATGGGTTAGTCCCGTGTATAGGAATACCAATCTGTGTAAAGTGATTTGAAGAACAGGTGAAGATTTTGCTGGAATGTTGCTAAACTAGATAGAAATGAATTAGTATTTGTAGTAAATGCTTAATTATAACATTTCTCCTTTAAAACCTGTTTATAGTAGTGAAGAACAAGAAGAACTGCTTTACCAGGATTCAGATGTGACAGATCGAAGGGATAACAGATGTAAAGTCAAGTGGTCTCGTGAAGAAGTATGTATTATTCTTCACAAGAATAATATGTATATGAAGAAGTATTGTGTTATTCATAAAGAAAAACAGGGAGATTGGTCTTGGGCAGTGGTTCTCAATCTTTTTAATGCCGCGACCCCCAACCAGTCGTAAGTCGAGGACTACTCAACCGGTCGTAAGTCGAGGACTACTCAACTGGTGCAGCACTGTTTGCAGAATGGGACTTTTGGCGGGCTCAGCAGGGCAGAGACAGCCTGGACAATTCCTATTGGCTTTTGAAAGCCAATAGAATTAGACTCTATTCAAGAGAGTCTATTCTATTGGCTTTCAAAAGCCAATAGAATAAAAGGGAGTAGCACAGCTAAGGAAAAGGAGGGAAAAATGGCAGACTGTGTTGTTTGGCGACCCCCGTGAAATGGTCATTCGACCCCAAATGGGGTCCCGACCCACAGGTTGAGAACCACTGGTCTTGGGCCAAGCAGGTGTGAGCCTCTGTAGGAGGTGAAAGCATAAGAAAAGATCCACTGACAACTTTGGATATAAATATAGTAAATAAACAGAACTAGCCTGCTTTTGAATTAGTAAATGGAAAACAGGCTTAACATTCTCATAAACCAGTACATTGCTGAACTCAGACAGGTCTTGTTATTGACCAAATTATAAGTAAAAAAAGCAGGTGGTTCTCAACTTACAACTCTTTGTTTAGCAACCATCAAAAGTTACAATGGCATTGGAAAAAGTGACATATAACTGATCCTCACACTTAAAACTTTTGCAGAATCTCCAAGGTCACATGATTAAAATTCAGGCAATTGGCAGCTGGCAGGTATTTATGGTGGTTGCGGTGTCTGAGGTCACATGATCACCATTTGTGACTTAGCTGGCTTTGGACAAAGAAATTCAATAGGGAAGCCAGATTCACTTAACAATCATTATGATTTACTTAATAACTACAGTGATTCACTAACTGGCAAAAGTCATAAAATTTAGCATGCCTCAGTTAACAATCACCTTGCTTAGCAATAGAAATTCTGGTCCCAGTTTTGGTTGTAAATCAAGGATTATCTATAGTACCAAAGATGCATTTATTAGTCAGTTCTTTGGATAGTAAATGTTTGCCAGAGTTCTATATTTCTTTCTGTTTGAAGCTTAAGTTTTTAATCTCCATTTTGGATATTTGTCTATGAAGTGAAACCCAGGGCAAAAGTTAAGTAAGCATTTAGTTCCTGATAAATTATATAGACCTATCCAGTTTTTCTGCTTCCTGTTATAAAATCCCTGCATTATATGAATCAAATTTCTGTAAGATTTATTGTATAATCTGGGGGTGGATAATCAAGTACTGGGATCTTGAAAGTTCTTGAAGGGGCATAGGGCAATTGAGGTTTTATATTTTTCCATACATCAGAGTTGGCCATTTAGACAAAGTATTTGCTTCTACGAGATCCTATGTGCTATTTCTGCTTTATTGTATACTTTGTGATAGCAGTGTAACTTGCTACCCAAGGGTAGCAAATCACATAAAAATTCAAGATTCTATTTCTTATTTTGTGTTAGGTTGTGACATATCCTTAACAGTCTTGCTCTTTTTAGGATGAGCTGTTGAATTCACTGGTGACACAGTTTGGACATGACTGGAAATTCCTAGCAAGCCATTTTCCTGTAAGTGGAGTTTTTCAGTTGAGTAGGTTTTCTTCTTGTTTTCCCTATCAACAGAAACAATAGGAAGCCAAATTTACAGAAATTTAACTGCTGGTTAAAGGCTAACGTATGTCTCTGTTCCTTTTGATTTTTATTTCTGTCTGTCTTACTGTTTCATTTAACATAAACATATTTAAATTTGCTCATAGAACCGCACTGAACAGCAATGTCAGTATCGTTGGCTAAGAGTGCTAAATCCTGTTCTTGTAAAAGGCCCCTGGACTAAACAAGAAGATCAGAAGGTAATTCATTGTTTAGTAGTTACTTCTGGAGCTGAGGAGTTGAAATGCTATCTTCTTTGTGATAGGGAACTTCAGTATGAACCCAACTGGTGGAATTGCTAGGCATTATTCGCAAGCAAGTAGTATAATAGAGAACCCAAAGATTTATTGCAGTTTGAACTATCTGGGCTCTCCAAGATTCCTTTTGTAGCCTCCATCATATCCCCAATATTGGGCAAAAGTTTTTTTTTTAGTTTTGATAATGAGTTATGCCTTGAAATCCCTTACGGGGCTTAAAATGCTGATTTTGCCCCTTCAAAATATTAAACCCTTATCCTCAAGTTGGATTGGTTTCTCCAGTTCTAAAGAGAGCCTAAAAACAAAAATGAGTGTCTTTAGGCAAACATCGCCCAGAGTGGATCAAAAATGCATGGCCCTGCTTAACTGCATCTTTCCACATGGATCCTTGTATAATGGCTGAATGTCAAGGGTCAAAAGTGCATCCAGTAAACAAAACTAAATGTAGCCATTTTATTTTTGTGATGAGGTTATTGAATTGGTGAAAAAATATGGCACAAAGCAATGGACTCTCATAGCCAAGCATTTGAAAGGCCGTCTAGGAAAGCAATGTCGGGAACGTTGGCACAACCACCTGAACCCTGAAGTCAAGAAATCATCCTGGACAGACGAGGAAGACCGCATAATTTGTGAGGCTCACAAGATACTTGGAAACTGGTGGGCTGAGATTGCCAAGCTGCTGCCTGGAAGGTATGTTTAAAAGCTGTTGAAGCAGCCTTCTTTCAGAATAGCAGTGCTTGCTGCTGCTGCTGCTGCTTCTCCTGGATGATGGTGCATGCATTTATTGTTTATTTTTAAAGGACTGATAATGCTGTGAAAAACCATTGGAATTCAACAATCAAAAGGAAGGTGGACACAGGAGGCTTTCTTAATGAAGCAAAAGAATCCAAACCCCTTTATTTGCTGGTGGAAGTGGAAGGCAGCGATGGACAAAATACATCAGAAGGGGAAAATCAGGTAGTGCAAAACATTGATCTTTTAGCTGCCTATGGAACGTTTGAATAACAAACTGTTTTGAAGATTATGTATCATAGTGCTTGATGAAATATGGATGTGCAAAATGCAATATTTCTAGGGATAGAATTGTAAAGTACTGCTGGAATATTTTGTATTTTTGATGGTATGAATGGTCACACTTGGAACATCACAAATCACTTTGTCTTCTTGAAGAATTATTCCAGAAAACTACAAGCTATGCTCAGAATTTCTAAATGATTACATTTTTTGGGGGAAAGCAGAATATTTCCAGGTAGAATGGAATATTTTATCTCCAGAATGCTGAGATTTGGATATAATCTTTCTTTTTGCAAGACTTAGTTCTGTAAAGGACTGGGGAGGGAGGTGAATTTGGATGCAAGAAAGAAAACTAAATTAAAATAATTGAAGTAACTGTTGCTTCAGAAATATGATAGGAAGCTGCTATCAGTTTTGACCATATTGGTGGTGACAGAGTTGAAATTCAACATCTGGATTTACAAAAATGTTTTCTGTATTTGATAAAAAGAAGGTAGGTCTTATTTGTGTTCTTCCTACCTCTGATTTTACAATCTACAACTTTGAACATGTTTTTGTTTATAGTGATACAAATCTTCACTCATCTTTCACAGCAGCACTTTTTGACCAACTGGCCCGTCCAGACTTTGGAAGTAAAGAAGGAAGAAGTTGCTGATGAAGAGCCAGCAGACCTGCAGATGTTGCCATCTGAGCCAGTGCTTGAAAACCTAGTGGAGCCCAGTGTCAATGGAGCATCAGAAATCATGGTGTCAGATGATCCTTTGGATGGGAGTTCTGCATGTACATGGGTGGTTGAAGGCAATTATTTGTGTACTGCTGCAGCCCCAGCTATTTCAGAAGCTCTGGACATGATTGAATCTGTAAGAAATGAATTAATTGAATATTTTGATAAACTACATCAGTGTTTTTCAAATTAAGGACTTTTAACTCCCTGAATTCCGCAGCTAGCAAAGGAATTACAAGTGTATAGATCTTAAGGTTGCCAAATTTGAAAACCAGTGAACTACATAAGCAAGAGTAGAAGGAGAATGCGGCAGGAAAGATTATTTGAAGGAAACAGTCCTTTTGGTGGAGGGGGGCTCAGTGGATGATACATATTGTAATGAATCTAATTTCCATTTTGTATGGCTTAACCTTTGTGTAAATGTATCTTTGAATATCTTATACATATATCTTTGCTGATTTTGAGTTGATATTAAATGTTTTGTGATTTATTGGTGATTTGCTGATTTATGTGTGACCACTGGTTATATCCATTTCCATAAGCTGAGTGTGATATAATGGTTAAGGTACTGGATTATGAGGGAAAATCCAGATTCTACATCTTTTACAGAGAAGCCGGCTGGGTGATTTGGCCCAGTTGCCTTTAATGTGCTCAAAATCTACCAACAGGTGCTAAAGCAGTGTGGGAAAGTGGTCTATAATCTTCCATAAGAGGTTTATGGATTGATTTTGGCTGCTGATAATAAAGCATCTCATAATCTAAAGCTATTAGCAGAACCTTTTACCTGTTCCTGTGTTCATTGTCTGCAGTCTTGTCTTAGACCTGGATCTTATTTTGAACATTCCTATTCTGGCAGGACCCAGATGGTTGGTGTGATCTCTCCCAGTCTGACTTACCTGATGATGGGGAACTCATCAAATTTGCAGACGACACCAAGCTGGCAGGAATAGCCAACACTCCAGAAGACAGGCTTCAGATACAGAAGGATCTGGACAGACTTGAACACTGGGCACTAACTAACAAAATGAAATTCAATGGTGAAAAAAGCAAGGTTCTACATTTAGGCAAGAAAAACCAAATGCACAAGTACAGCATAGGTGGCACCATGCTCAATAGTAGTAACTGTGAGAGGGACCTCGGAGTCCTAGTAGACAATCACTTAAATATGAGCCAGCAGTGTGCTGCAGCTGCCAAAAAGGCCAACACAGTGCTAGGCTGCATTAACAGAGGGATAGAATCAAGATCACGTGAAGTATTAATACCACTCTTCAATGCCTTGGTAAGGCCACACTTGGAATACTGCATCCAGTTTTGGTCACCACGATGTAAAAAAGAGTTGAGACTCTAGAAAGAGTACAGAGAAGAGCAACAAAGATGATTAGGGGACTGGAGGCTAAAACTGTTTATGTCCCGAGCCTTGCAAACGGCTCGGGCGTTTGCAGGCAGTCCCGGCAGGTGCAAAGCTGCCCGGGACCAGACAGGCTGTCGCCAGCGCCGTGCGCATGCGCGGGTGCTGGCGCGGGAAAAGTAACCCATTTACCCGGGAGTTGCCTATATAAGAGGCTGTGAGGCGTTTGGGCTGAGCTGAAGCCATCTTCCTGTAAGCTGAACGCTGAATAAAAGAACCTGAGAACTCCAGCTGCTTCTCGTGTCTGTTTTCCCGCCAAGGACGCAACACTGGCGACGAAGGTGGGATGCCGTGCACTACCTGGAAAGGAAAAAGTGTAAGCTTACCCAAGGAGTCCTGAGCGGCGGAAGAGGAACGGTGTTGACTCAGCAGCTGCCCGCCAATCCAGTGCGCATTCGGGGGTAGGCTGGCTGATAGACCCGTCTCCTGAAGATCCGAAGATGGCGAAAATCGGAAGGCTTGCGGAATTCGACGTCTCACATCCAGAGCGGTGGGAGTCCTACGTATCCAGAATGGAGAACTACTTCAAGGCAAACCAAGTGAGGGAAGATAGCTTGAAGGCTGCCACCCTGCTTTGCGCGTTGCGGCCAAGACGCCTTCGAAATCGCAGAAAACCTTGCAGCACCTGTTCCAGTAGAGTCTGTAAGCTACGCAGACCTGAAGAAGCTGCTGAAGGACCACTTCCACCCCAATGGTGTCCGTTATCTCATGGCGCCACACCTTCGAGCAGAGGGATCAACGGTCCGGGGAGTCAGCCAAGGAGTACATCGCCGCGTTACGGAAGGCCGCCAAGCCATGCGAGTTCAAGGACCTCGAGGAACGACTGAGGGACCGATTCGTGTGCGGGTTGAGGCATCGAGAGCTACACCAGAGACTTTTCGCTAAGGAAGAATTATCCTTCCAAGACGCTTTAAGGGAAGCCACCGCGGAAGAAGCAGCAGGCGGCGCCGTCAAGAACATGCGGCCGATCAGAAGCAGTGCAGAGGGTGCGTCCGTGCACCAAGAAGACGTCCGACGAAACACCGAGGAGGATCCGGACGAAGAAGTCGACCGTCTACACCCCGCGAAGGGAGAAAATCAGAAGGAAAGCTCTTCAGCTCCGCTCAAGTGCATCGGCTGTGGAGGTCGCCACAGGAGAACCGACTGCAAGTTCCGCTCCGCTACCTGCCGGGCAGGCGGCAAACAAGGGCACATTGCAGCTGTGTGTCTGGGCCGACGAAAGGCACAACCTCAAGAAGAACGCCTGAAGGGTACCAGAGTCCCCAGCCAGAATAGGGTAGGTTTTTGCGCTTCGCGTAGAAACATTTGTAGGACAGGCACACACAAGCCCCTGAAGAAAAAGCTGTCACTCAACGTGAAGCTACAAGGGGTTCCATTATCTATGGAACTAGACACAGGGTCTGCCCTTTTCATCATTTCATTGATACATTTAGGAAGATTTGTTCCAGGAGTGGGGACTAGGCCAAGTAAGGCCATTATGATATTGTATTAACGATTTTTCAGAAAAACTTCAAGAGTGTGTGTAAGGGGAGGGCCACCCTTAACGTGCAATACAAGAGTTGAGAGGTCCACTAGATTGTAGTTACGGGGGTTGGAAAGAACGAGTCTCATAGACGCGGATGGTTGAGGGGGGGGCCCCCCCCCCTGGGGGGAACAGCGTCACAGGACTCAACAGCTTACAAACACTCGGACCTACAGGAAGTCTGCAAGGAAATGCAGATGTTTTCAGCCCCCAGCTGGGCACATTCAAAGGACCCCCTGTGTCCTTAAAGCTAGACCCCACTGTCACTCCCATTAGAATTAAAGCAAGAAGGGGCCCTTTTGCTTTAAAGAGTAAAATTGACACTGAGTTAGACAAACTGATCCAACAGGGAATTCTAGAACCTGTTGATTCCAGTCCTTGGGAGACCCCCCTTGTCACGCCTCTAAAGGCAAATGGGGACATTCGCATTTGTGCTGATTACAAATGCACTCTTAATAAGGCATTGCAGCAACATGCCTATCCTGTTCCTGTGGTCAGTCACATTCTGGCCTCCCTCAAGGGGGGGCGTGTGTTTGCAAAGCTTGACCTAGCTCAAGCATATCAACAGCTGCCTGTTGATGATGATGCTGCTATAGCTCAGACTATTGTGACCCACAGCAGGGGAGCCTTTAAGGTAAACAGGCTGCAGTTTGGAGTGAATGTCGCTCCTGGGATTTTCCCAAGCGTAATGGAAAACACACTACGAGGTATACCAGGGGTCTGCCCCTACTTTGACGATGTCTTGATTGCAGGAGACTCCACACACATTCTAGCTGAAAGGCTTAGGGCTGTCCTGTTAAGATTCAGGAAATCAGGCCTCAAGCTCAGAAAAGACAAATGCCAGATTGGGGGTGCCTTCTACTGAATTTCTGGGATTCAAAATTGATGCTGCTGGGATTCATCCTGCTGAATCCAAACTAACTGCTATTTTAGAAGCACCCAGGCCAAAGTCTAAGGCCGAACTTCAGGCCTTCTAGGCCTCCTGAATTTCTACAATTCTTTTCTTCCACATAAAGCTAGTGTAGCTGAGCTCTTCACAGGTACTAGCAAAGAGAAGCTGTGTGCTGGGTCACAAGCACATGAGGCTTGCTTTAAGAAGTCAAGCCTTGCTCATTTAACAGTGTTCTGCCACATTTCAACGAGTCTCCCTGTGTGCATCGCTGTGATGCATCCCCCTACGGGGTTGGAGCTGTCCTGGCACATCAGGTTCTGATGGACTCAGGTCCTAGGCATACACTCCAGAAACATGTCTTCTGCCGGCGCAACTACGCTCAGAGGACAGGGAGGCTCTGGCTGTTGTTGCTGGAATAAAACTCCACGATTTTCTATATGGGAGGGCATTCACGGTCTTCCATGGACCATAAGCCTCTCGCTGGGGACTGTTTACACACGTAAGCAGGGGACTACCCACATCATTTCCCCTAGAATGCTTAGGTGGTCTATTTTCTTGTCTGCATATGATTTTTCATTACTCCACAAGCCTGGGAAAGAAATGGGCCATGCTGATGGCCTCAGTAGGTTGCCTCTGCCAGTAGTAGAAGCTGACCCCGCGCCAGCTGTCAACAGTCTATCAATCCAAGCCTTGCCCGAGCTTCCTCTTAGTGCCAGGGATGTTACCGCTGAAACAGGTACAGATCACACACTTTCACGTGTCCGCTCCGGGGTCCTGTCCGGGTGGCCTGAGCACTGCCCTAGTCCTGAGTTTCAGAGTTTCTGGTCCAAAAGGAACGAATTGTCCCTTTCTCAGGGTTGTTTGCTTTTGGGAAACAGAGTTGTCATTCCCACCTCAATGAGGGCTAGGGTCTTAGAATCCCTCCACGAGGGTCATCCTGGCATTGTTCGTATGAAGGCTCTTGCACGCAGCCACTTGTGGTGGCCTGATTTAGATAAAGATATTGAGGCTAAGGTACACGCATGCCACATGTGCCAACGATCTCGCCCAGAGATGCCCCAAGCTCCTGTGCATAAATGGGAGGAAACACCGTCCCCATGGTCTAGGGTGCACATTGACTACGCTGGGCCCTTTCAGGGCCAGTTCTTCTTGGTCCTTGTTGACAGCCATTCAAAATGGCTTGAGGTTGTGCCTGTCTCGACCACCACCACTGCAAAGACTATTCAGGTACTGAGGGGGATTTTGCTGCACACGGGCTGCCAGATGTCATTGTGTCTGACAACGGCCCTCAATTCACCTCCTCCGAATTCCAAGCTTTCTTACAGGCAAACCTGATTCGTCATGCCACATCTGCGCCTTTTCACCCATCCACCAACGGTATGGCTGAACGAATGGTGCGCATCGCAAAGGACGCCTTGAAGAGACTCACCTACGGGGACTGGCATCACAGGTTGGCTGACTTTCTCCTTTCTTATCGCACCACACCGTCCACTTCTACAGGGAGAAGTCCAGCTGAACTTCGTTGGGGGCGCCAACTTACTACTAGACTTGACCGGTTGCATCCGGACAGACTGCCTTCATCTACATCACATCCTAGGGCACCTAGACAACTACTTGTGGGTGCCCCGGTTTGGGCTCGCAATTACGGGCCTGGTCATACATGGGTCCCCGCTTCTGTGTCCAGGATCACAGGTCCTCTCTCCTACGAGGTGGCCCTGGACAACGGTCGTGTCCTGCGTCGGCACATCGACCAACTCCGCTCTAGGCGGGACTTTTCTGCTGAAACTCCTGGGTCTTTTCCAGGGGGGGAGGTGGACCCTTTGGAGCAAAGGGAAGGGCAAGAGCTACTGCCCATCGCCACTGAGGGAGCCACAAACGGCTCGTCCCAAGGTTCTGCAATTGCTCCGAAAAGGAAGTCTTGGAGCTTACCCACACAACAGGCACTCACGCCTACTCCAGCCAGGAGTTACCCCGGGGGCATACTCACTTTCCACACACAGCACACAGCACTCCAGCAACGGAGGATACCCGGGGGCATCCCAACAAATCATTCCCCGCAAGAGAGCTGGCACACAAGACCCAAGGTTGGCCTGACCTTACCCCAAATCCTACAGGGGGTCAAACATACACAGAGCTAGTCGAGGAACCAAGTCCCGACTACAACATCCCTAGCACAAATCAGGGGACACCTGAGTTTTGGGAGAGTACAGAAACCCACACGAGCCCAAACACAGAATGGGGTTCAGGAAATAGACAGCCTCCTGACAGGTCTTGGACTGACCTAGGGGGTTCTACAGAGACGCCCAGCAGTGGCTATCACTTCAAGGGGCCTGAGGGTCTACAGCTAGGTAGGACAACCAGGTCACCAAGCACCAGAAGCCCTGGCCTGACGAGCCCGGTGGGCAAGCAAGCAGGCCAGGCATCGGGGCACAGTCCTTGGAAGACACCAGGGCACAGTAGAGAGAACAGGCTCATGCCTCCCTCCAGTCAGGGGACTTATGCCAGTAACCCAGAGCTAAGAAGGTCACAGAGAGCAAAGAAATCTCCTAAGTACCTAGAAGATTACATAACATTGTTGGCAAGACAAAAGACAGTAAACAGTGGGAACACTGGGGAGCAAATTGTCGTGTAAAATAAATGTTGTATGTTGATAGTAGTTTTAGCCCGGGGGAAAGGGGTGTTAGGTCCCGAGCCTTGCAAACGGCTCGGGCGTTTGCAGGCAGTCCCGAGCCTTGCAAACGGCTCGGGCGTTGCAGGCAGTCCCGGGCAGGTGCAAAGCTGCCCGGGACCAGACAGGCTGTCGCCAGCGCCGTGCGCATGCGCGGGTGCTGGCGCGGGAAAAGTAACCCATTTACCCGGGAGTTGCATATATAAGAGGCTGCGAGGCGTTTGGGCGAGGCTGAAGCCATCTTCCTGTAAGCTGAACGCTGAATAAAAGAAACTGAGAACTCCAGCTGCTTCTCGTGTCTGCTTTCCCGCCAAGGACGCAACAAAAACATATAAGGGAACGGTTGCTAGAATGGGATGTTAGTTTAACGAAGATCAAGGACAAGGGGGGACATGAGAGCAGTATTCCAATATCTCAGGGGCTGCCATAAAGAAGAGGGAATCAAGCTATTTTCCAAAGCACCTGAAGGCAGGACAAGAAGCAACAGGTGGAAACTAATCAAAGAGAGAAGCAACCTAGAATAAGGAGAAACTTCCTGACAGTGAGAACAATTAATCAGTGGAACAGCTTGCCTCCAGAAGCAGTAAATGCTCCAACACTGGAAGTTTTTAAGAAGAGACTGGACAGCCATTTGTCCGAAATAGCGTAGGGTTTCCTGCCCGAGCAGGGGGGTGGACTAGATGACCTCCAAGGTCCCTTCCAACTTTACTATGTATTATTATTATATTATTATTATTCTCACTCATCGCCACAGTCAGACAGAGTTCAGACTGGGATTTGGATTTTGTCTACTATCGAGGCCTTACTCAGGGACCTGGGCTAGGCAGTGTGGATGTTTGATGGTATTACAGGTATCGTCGCAGGAATGGAAGGCAGTTCCTAATAAGACGCTTTTGCAATTGACTAATAGCGAATTTGTCAATGCCAATGGTGTTCAAGTGGTGCTCCAGTTGTTTTGGGATTGCACCCAAGGAGCCTATGACTCTTGGTACTACCCTTGCTTACTTTTGCCACAGTCTTTCTATTTCTATTTGTAGGTCTTTGTATTTGTTATCTTCTCCAGCACTGCCACGTCCACTATCCAGACTTTTTTGTCTTTCGTATCGACAATTGGTAAGTCTGGGGTGTTATGTTGCAGGTGCTTGTCTGTTTGAATTCTGAAGTCCCAGAGCAGTTTAATTTTATCATTTTCTATGACTTTCTCTATTTTATGATCCCACCAGTTTTTGCTTACAGGCAAATGATATTTTTTGCAGATCTCCAATGCACCATTGTTGCTACTTTGTCATGCTCGCTCCTGCCTTGTAATCAGTCTGTGCAAATCTTCTGCAACAGCCTACCAAGTGGTTCCACTGTTTCTACAGCTGTCTATTGCATAGGCGGCACTATCTGTCGGCTTGCTGTTTCTCAATTTCGACTTTGATGCATTGTCATAAGGCTTGGTTCTGTTGAGCAGAATTAATCCCTCGGTCTCTTTCTTCATTTTCTGCTCTTACCATTGCCAGTTTTTATTAATTATCTGCTTTCCCAGCTATTTTGAATGATTGGCACATGTAGTGCTTTGCTCTTCCCATGCCATCTACATCTGTTCTTCATTTGGATCTTTATTGCTTTATAGGCCAGTTTGGTCTCTCCAGTAGTAGTAAGCCTTCCTGATATACTAATTTCAGTGCATCTTCATCATTGTTCTTCAGATATTCTTCCAAAGCCATTTTTTCTTCTTCAACCATCTGATGTACTTGTAGCATTCCACGCCCACCTATTTGCCTTGGTATATAAAGTCTATTCCAGATCACTGCGTGCGAGAGGGCATGATTCATTGTCATTATTTTTCTGGTCTGCCTATCCATTGCTTTTAGTTCTGCTTGAGTCCAGTCCACTATTCCAGCTGTGTACCTAATGACTGGGATTGCCCAGGTGTTGATTGCCCTTATGGTATTCCTCCATTGAGTTTGGACTTTAAGATCTTCTTCACTCTCTTGATGTATTCACCTCTAATCATTTTCTTGACTTCAGTGTGCTTGATGTTGTCAGCTTGAAGGATTACCCAAGTATTTGTAGTAATCTTCCTCATCCAGACTCTTAATGTTATTTTCGTGGGGCATCTTGATTCCTTCAGTTTTCACTACTTTTCCTTGTTTGATAGTAAGTGTGGAAATGTCCAGCCAAACTCATTACAACTATATCTGGCTATACTATACGGACAGTGTTGAGCAGCGATTTTTTTCAGATGAGTGTTCCATACACAGCTTCAGATCATCCATGTAAAGGACGGTGGGTAGTAGTATCTGGCAGATGTTTTTGATGTTTGATAGCCATGTCCTGAGTTATTCAGTATTGTTGACAGAGGAAACATTGCAATAACAAATAGTAATGGTGATAATGAATCTCCTTGAAATATTCCTCTCTTGATATTAACCTCTCCCAGCCTCTCACCATTGATCTGCAACTGTTTCTTCCATTGTGCCATCGATCTTTGCACAAATTTTCTGATGTTTCTACTGACTCCTGTTATTTCTAGGCACTTGATTATCCAATCATGTGGCAGAGAGTCTGTCAAATGCCCATTTCTGTAGTCAATCCATGCCAACATTAAAGGTGGTCTTCCTTCTACTTGCAGTTTGTTCCAAGATCATTTTGTCTATTAGGAGTTGATCTTTTATTCCTCTGATATTGGGCGCGGTATCCTTTCTGCTCAGGTGGAAAGAGATTGTTCTTCAAACTAGAGCTGTTGTACTGCATCAGCTACCACACTCCAGTTAGTAATTTGAAAGTTGTTGGTAAGCAGGTAATTGGCCTGTAGTTACCTGGTGTTGCCCCTTTGCTGGATTTTTCATTATTAGGTAGGTTTTCCCAGTTGTTAGCCACTTTTCAATTTCTCCTCCTTGTAGTATATTGTTGAACTGCTTGGCAATGAGTGGGTGTATAACAGTTAGATGTTTCAACCAAAACCCATGCAGTTCATCTTCACCTGGTGCTGACCAATTTTTGATTTTCTTTGCTCTTTTTTCTACCATTTTTGTTGTTATTACTAGTTCTTTCATTTCAACTTCTGTTTTATTTGCATCCACCTCTTTTAACCAAGCCGCATCCTTGTTGTATTTCTTTGGGTTATCCCATATCTGCTTCCAGAACTGCACTGTTTCTTCCTTGTCAGGTACTGACTGATTCTTGCAGTTTCTCCATTGATGGATTGGTAGAAACGTTTCTGATTGGATTGAAATTGGAGGTTCTGCCTATAGTTTGCAATTCGAGCTTCATATCTACTGATTTTCCTGGCTATTATTATTATTATTATTATTATTATTATTATTATTATTATTTATCTGCAAGTAACAGCAACAGTCCGGAGAAGCAAGCCTCTATAAAACCCTACTGCTCTTCACAGAATGTTACAGAGTACCGTTTAGATGGCCACACCATTTCAGATCTCAGCAAAGGCAGCAAGGGTGAACTTATCCCCATTTCACCTTGCACAGACATGAGCTTTGGCACACCCCCTGCTGTGCTCAAGAGGCAAAAAAAGAGGAAAATTAGTCTCTCACCAGTTTTAGAGGGTGGCACCAGTACAAATCTCTCCTTCCTTGATTCCTATAACAGCATGACACCCAAGAGCACACCAGTTAAAAGCACCCCCGTCAAAACTCTGCCATTCTCTCCATCCCAGGTAGGTTGGTGTGAACGGGCAATGAGATAGATATAAAGAACAAGATAAAGGCTAGTTGTGCCAAGGTGCCCTCTTTTGTTTAATGATATAACGGTCAATTTTGACAATTGGTAGCATCCTGTTTCTATTTGGTGGAATGTGTGCTTAATGGGGGAATTCAGAGTAATGGAAAACAGTCATCAGTAACTACCATATATAATTTATATGGAGTTTTGGGCTGTTTCAGTCATCTTTTCCTGTCTGGTTTTTTTTTTAATTTGATGTAGTCTGCACCTTCCAGAATTGCTGGCTAAAATGGCTAATTGACAAGAAACTGGACAAGCTGATTGGGAATTTTGGATGTTGTAAATCTATCACAGGGCATCAGTTTAAAGAAAATTCAGCTTGATATGAGATGAAAATGATACACAAAACCATTCTGTTAGAAATTGGCATGCTTATATCCTGATAAAATCAGAAATAGATGGCAATTTTTTTGCAAGCCAAGGCAATTTTTCTACAGTATGGGTAGTCCTTGACTTAAAGCCACAGTTGGGACTGGAACTTCCATCATTGAGTAGTGTGGTCATTAAATAAATTGTGCTCAATTTTACAACATTTTTGCTGCAGTCATTAAGCTAGGAGTCCCCAACCCCCAGTTCATGGGCTGACACTGGTCCGCAGCATGCCAGAAACCAGTCTGCGCAAACAAGCAAAGCCCCATCCGTGAGATGCAGGCAGCACATGAAACCACACCCCCTCCAGTCTGCAGAAAAATCTCCATGGACCCGGTCCCTGGTGCCCCCAAATTTGGGTGCCACTGCATTAAGCAATCTGGCTCCCTCCATTGATTTTGCTTGTTGGAAATCCCCTGGGAAAATCAGAAACAGAGATCAGAGGACTCACGGGGACACTGTAACAATTTTAAGTTTGAGGGTCAGTTGCGAGTTATATTTTTCAAGTACTCTTGTAACTTTGAGTGGTCATTAAACCGTCATAAATCAAGGACTACCTGTAGTAATCTCTTACATCAGAGCCCGATTCTCACTTTAGGGCACCTGTTTTCTTCTGCATCATAATTTGTTTTGTTTACCTCTAAGAAGTGTTCCTCAACATCAGCAACTTTTAAGATGTGTGGACTTGCAGACCGCTTGTGCCTGTAAGGCTGATAAAATAGCTTCAGTGACAATTTGGGGTTTGATTTTTCAAATTCTTCCTTTTGAAATTCTGCTTACAAAAGGTTTTCGCTATATGTAAAATCCGTATGGACTTCTTAGAAGTCCTACCATTCCAGTGGGTTAGGCATTTATTCTCCAGCCTTGTTCTGTAATTTTGAGTTTTTTTGAATGCATGAGTCCAACACTAGCAACTCAGGTGTTTTTTGCTTGGCCTCAATAATAACTTTTAAGATAGAAAGTGCCCTGAGTATCTTGCTTACAGATGACTGAACATAGACAAATGCTATTGGATGTTTGTTGTTGTTGTAAAACTCTTACCAGGTGCTTTCATACTGACATCCTGTGTCAGGTTTATTGCCAATATGGGAGCCTTCCTTTATATCGGTTTCTAAAATTTGAAAATGCATTCTTTGCAGACCTGATATCAATTAAAAATCAGAATTTGGTATTAAAAGCTATAGGAATTTAAATTTAGCTTTGGATTACACATATACTTTTACCTCCGTTCCCATGTCTAAAAGTAAGAGAAATGATTTGAAAATATATTTTCTTTCTTATTCATAAGTTGATTTGGTCCATTCTATTAAATCCAATACCGACTGACAGAGTTTCAAATAATATTTCCAGGAATTGTTAATGTGTTTCTATTGAACTGTAGCTTTTTAATCCAGGCCTGAGGCCAAGAAGAGGGAACAATTCCTTCCTAGAGGATTCTCCGTCTATTTTAAAAAGTTTGGCTTATTTGCAGTTTTTGAACCCAACTGGGAAACAAGACAACATTCCCTGAAACAGGCCAAAGGTTAAGTAACAGTTGTCCTCTATACCAATTGTTCCAGATTAGTATGGAGGGGAAACACATCAATGTATGGAAATAAGCCCCAAATCTAACTTCCTTTTGTGAGCTCTAGAGCAGGGCTTTTCAATCTTTTCACCCATAGTACCACTTTTAGGATATGGCAACATCCGAGTACCACCAGTCGCCTAGCAAGGTGTCGAAAACTTGATGACCAAAAAAAAAAGGGGGAAAAAGTGATAAAGTACAGGTAGTCCTCGACTTACAACAGTTCGCTTAGTGACTGATTGAAGTTACAATGGCACTGGAAAAAGTGCTCCCCAAGGCACAGCCGAGCAAGACACCTGCCTGCCTGCCTGCCTGGTGGTGCTCTTCCTCCTGTCTGAGGTTTGCATTGTGAGCATTTCTGTTGAGGATTGGGGGTGGGGTGGGGTGGGGGGGTGTTTGGTTTTTATTCCCCCATCTGCTGGGTGGTTGCAGCAATTTTTGGTTACTTCACATGACCTTGGGATACTGTGACTGTCATAAATATGAATTAGATGCCAAGCATCTGAATGTAAATCACAAGACCCTGGAGATGCTGCAACATTCCAGCTGATAGGCTCTTCTTGTGGGCTCAGCAGAAGCACCAGGATCAGCGTCGAGCTACAGCTGGAGCCTGGCGCTGATCCTGATACTTCTGCTGAGTCCTGACAGCCCTGCAGCTCCAGCCATCCTCGCTCAGGCTTATGCGGTGCTGACACCAGTTCAGCTTATTCCCCTCTCCTGCTACCACTTTTCTAGGATGTTCGCGTACCACCTGCCAGGTGCCAATGTACCACAGGTGGTACCCATACCACTGGTTGAAAAGCCCTGCTCTAGAGGCTGCTGTCTGGAAAGGTTTTTTATTATAAGAATCAATATTCCTATTTTTATGATATTTCTGTGAATAGGCTACTCACCATCAGATGGCTTTATCATTTTAGCACAGAGATAAAGCAGATCTCACTGTGACCCGCTGTGTAAAGGCATTAGTAATTATAACATATAATGGAACCTAAAATGAAGATAAAGAACTTTTTTTTCCTTTTTCCCTTTCCTCTGCTTTTTGCGTACTTTCTATTGAAAGCGAGATGAATTTTAGGGTATTTTAGAAGTGATAGGCTGCATACGAGGAACAGAAAAGGTTTCTTTATAGTGAGTCAGATCACTGCTCTCTATAAATTTGTACCTATCTCCATGGTTTCAAGAAGAGTTGCTAGAGTGAGATGCTGAGGATTGAAATTATACATTGTGTGAAAGTTTGGTAGAATTTATATCTTGCAGGTATGAGAACGAGCAGGATGTTGCAGATCAGACTTGCTGCTCAGTCCTGAAGTTCTTGTAAGATGAGGAATTATATTAATATTTTCATTTTCCCCTCGATCTTGTTACCTTGTCTCAGCAACATCCACCAAATTACTTTGAGAGATCCCTTCCATCTTTATGAAAAATAAAATATTAATTTCTTTTACCATGTAGTTCCTGAATTTATGGACAAAACAAGACATTTTTGATTTGGAGAACCCCTCCTTAACTTCCACACCCGTTTGCAGCCAGAAGGTGATTGTGACAACCCCACTGCACAGGGACAACACACCACTACTGCAGAAGACCTCTGTGTAAGTCTTCTTTCTATCTTCTCCAAAGTTGCACCTTGTGATCCAGGAGATTTAGGCAAAGCATACAGGAGATAAGAGTGAAACAAGAGGAACTTTTGTATGCTTTAAAATGAAATGCACATTGGAAATATCTTACTACAAATGATTTAAGAGTTGCCTTGTGGTGAGATGGGCAGTAAATAAGTTTAATAAATAAATACATAAATTGTCAGCATTTGTTTTCTTTACAGATCCTTTAGATATAAATGCATTGGGTGACGTGGACTAGTAGGGGATGCTGTGTTAGGGTCGGCAGTCCTGCCTGCCTCCTCATAAGTTAAATCAACTCAGGCTAAGGTCCCAAACAGTTAATAGTACTTTCACTGACTGTTTCTTTTGTCATTTACCTGAATCCAGTCTTGGATTTAAAAATGATAGTGCTTTACTCTTCTGCATTTATGTTTTCAGATTTGTAACTCCTGATCAGAAATATACTGCAGACAATACACCTTATACGCCAACTCCTTTTAAGAATGCGCTAGAGAAATATGGCCCAATAAGGCCTTTGGTATGTATTAAGCCAATTCATGGATTCTTTCTATGTTTGCATCTCATATCCCCACTGGAGTAATAGTCTCCTAATATACTTCAAGAAATGGAGCTAAAAATGGTTTCTTGTGTAAGGCTAATAAGGAACGGATTCCAGTTGTGAATTAAATTTGGTTCCTCTCCATGTTTATGTTCTCTCAAGGCTGGTTTAAATAATTTTCCTACTTATTATAGGGAATTGAACTAAATGATCATTGTGATCATTTCCAAAATTCCACATATCTCCCCATCTGGTGGGCTCTCAGAATAAGGTATTAACTTGAACTTATTATTTGCAGAGACTTTTTGAAATTAGGCCAATGATCAAAAAAGTTGATTGCTTTGGTTTTAAGATGTAATAATAATTATTATAGGTAGGAGATTTTAATATAAATCCCTTTAATTTCTCTTTATAATTCTGCCCATCCCACCTAATAAGCTCTTGTGCTTTCTTCTATCTCCCTCTTTTTTGGGAAATCAGTTTTTTTCCTCCTCCAAATATGCCCCTTTAGGAATAAATAAGATAAAATTTATGCATATCTGTGAGCAAAGTTACTATTTTAGAAATGGGTGGAACTGCTCCTTCAGGGTAAAGAACAAAATGCCAAATGTTGAGTCATGATTTTGCTATTAATCACATCTTGTTGGCTCCCCACCCAACTTTGTATCACAAACTGCAGCCCCAAACACCTAATCTTGAAGAGGATTTGAAAGAAGTACTCTGGAGTGAGACTGGAATGGAACTGATCATAGAAGATGATGTGAAGCCAGAGAAATAGAGGAGAAAACAGGGTGTAAGCATCTGATTAAGCATGTCTGCTAAACGTTATATTTCCTTTTAATTGTCCTTGTAACTTTTAAAGTTTACAGAGCCAGATCTGCTCCATACTGGTTGGATGCCACAATGAACTTTCCCAGATAATGCCACTTTTAAAAATACAAGTGCAAACCCATACCACTTTACTTGCACCATGGGGTGTTTGATTTAAAATTCATGGTATAGCATTAATTTTCCACTTCTCTATCTTCAATGAGACCTTTGCATGACAGAACTCTTGTTGCAGAAGTTAGCCAGGCTGAAGACCAGGCTTATGGAATCTTTATTCCTGATGATGCCCTTTGTGGATCATCTGTCGGGGACTTTTTTTCTCTCCAACTTCTTTCCTGCGCAGCAAGAAGGAGGCTGGAGACAGGGAAAAAATAGTTTGAAGAATAATTTCCAGGGAGGAAAGAACAAACTGTTTTGGATTGATGTGGTCTGACTTTTGCATTTAATAGGGTTTTGAAATTAGCTTGAGGGCAGCAGGTTACCTGTCCAGGTTTGGGGAAGAGGAACAATTATAACTCAAGCAATTGGGATCTGCTGACAGATTAGTGCAGGTGTCTTCAAACTCAGCTCTTTTATGCCATGGACTTCAACTCCCAGAATTTCTCAGCCAGTGTGCCTGGCTGAGGAATTCTGGGAGTTGAAGTCCATGAGACATAAAAGGGCCGAGTTTGAAGACCCCTGGGTTAGTACATAATTCATTATGCACAATATACAATGAAATAGCAAAAATCTTCCTTTTTACTCCATCTAAGACTATAAAATCCATGTCTGTAGCAGACTAGATATAGAATGGTGTGTGTTTTCCTAAGTTATTTTATTGTGCGGTTCTTCTAGTATTGTGGATTATAAGTTTTGCTTATTGAGTTTTTGTTTGGATCGGTATAGCCTCTTAAATGACTCTTTTTGACTTTGGGTTAGTCAGTCTTAGTCTTTAGGTAAAACTCTTGAATTTAAACTCTTAAATAGTTGAAATCTATCTTTCCAGAACTATTCCAGAATGCATGTTCTGTGAGCAAATTAGTTGTGCTAGCTCTCTCGTAGCTGCATTTCACATGTGAAAATGAGTTGTACTTGGCAAATTACTTTAAGGCATCACAGGATTCTTAGTTACCTGAAGATCAGCCAAAGGGGAAAAGAAAACTATGTTATAAAATATATCAATCTATTATGCCCCAAGTATTTTTGAACTAGGTTATATCTTTTTTTTAATCTCTGTGTTATAAAAACTGATATAGGAGTGCAACTTGTAAATCTGGTAGCCCTTGAGATGTCACCGAGTATGTGTTTTTGGTAAAAACACTTGTTTGGAATTTGCAAAAGGTATGCATTATGATTGGCTATTTTAGAATTTCAGGAATTCTAAATTGTAGCAATTAGTCCTCAGTTTATGTCGTTGAACAAGTCTTGTTATGTTTTGTCCATTTGTAATTTATGCTGGAGCTGGCAGGCTTTACATTAATCTTCGTGGTTTGCTTGACTTATTATTGCACTTCTTCGGTATGCTGTTATTTCTCAGAAAATCTTATTAGCGTTGGGTTTGTTTTGCCTCCCATGGGCATTGAAAGGATCTTAGTGATAATGTGCAAATAAATTAATTCTCCAAAACTTAATTCATGTCCAAATTGTTTAGGTTTCTGCAATAATTCGCTACAAGTCAGATTTAGAATCTGACATAACTTGGTGCCTAACTTTTTCCTTTTGTTTTATTTTTCCTTGTTAAAGCCTAAATATCCTGATTCCGTTCCTTTTTCAGTTGCACAGGAGTCCAATTAAGAAGGTCAGGAAATCCCTTGCTTTGGACGTTATTGATGAAGACTTGAAGTTGACTGTTTCCTCTGTGGCCAATCCTATTTGCTTCAAAAGAACTCAGGTGAGCTGTGATCCCCTGGAGAGTAAGTTGGTAGCTGGTAACAATTTTAAAATATCTCTGCTTACCTGCTTGCTACAATATTCTTTCATTGCAATAGGAAAGTTGGTATCTCCCCAGTCTTTGTTCCTCCAGAAGGCAATTTCATACGTTCTTACACAACTGATCTCTGTTGTACATGTATAGGTGTAATCATATGCACACATTTTAAACCCTTCCTGTTTCCTGAGACAGAGATTTAGCTTTAGGAACTCTTAATGTTTTCCATTCTGGTTTTTTGCAAATAGTGGCAAAAGACCTCTATTTTACATAAAACCTGGCAACATTTCATGAAGAAGAGCTACCCCTTTTTTAAAAAGTTGCCCTTTTTTTAGGTACTTTGAGAATTGATAGTTTTTTATTCTTGTAGCAGTTGCTTGTACTTTACCAGTGCATTGTGTTTCCCTGCAATTTTCAGTGCCAGAAATGGTAATGAAACATTTCCTTCTGATAACAATTTCTGTAAGAACACTTAAGCATATTAGTGAGAACTGTTAGGTATTATCTGTCTGTGCTAATGAATTACTTGAAACTGTATTTTTTTTAAAAAACAAACAAACAAACAATAAAATACAACAAACTCCCATGATTTTTTTTTAAAAAATAATTACTGTGTATTTGTGCACCATTAATTCTGATGTAATAATTGATACTTGATTTGTTAATGTGCTTTTCTATAATGCTATAAATTAGAAGGCAGCAGCTTATTATCATCCATCTTGCAAAATAGTTGGCCACATAGAGTTTCAGGAAAGCTGTGTTGGGCCCATGCTGTTTTTAGCAACCACATCTCTCAGCCTGCAGATAAGTGGCTCAATTTTATTGCAGACAAAAATATAAGAAACACATTCTGGGTAGGAAAAAAAATGAGGTGGGAGATTGCAGATTCAAGAGTAGAATAGGCAAATGTTAATGGTATTGAAGAAAAATGATTGTGGAACTTCATTAAAATAGCAAAATGTCCAAATTTTGATCAAAAACTTCCTTGGAACACAAGCATTCAATTCATTATTTTTAATGAGGCAGCAGCTTCCCTTTTGGAGGGAAGGCTGTGCAGAAAGTGATACGGTACTTATAGAAGAACCTGGGGGACGTAGAAATATTTAGGTTTTCTCAGGCATGGGCATGGGCATGGGCATCTCACAAGGTTTAGCTGTGATGAGACTTGTGTGCTCTGTGTAATCTTCTTTATGCTTCTTGATTTCCCAATAGCTTTTGGTGCCATCAACCACAGCATACTTTTGGATTGCCTGCAAGGATTGGGTGTTCAAGGCACAATGTTGTAGTGCTTTCATTTCTTCTTAAATAGGCAATTTAAGAAGCTGTGGGGGAGAAGAGGCCAAACCCTTAGATACTCCAGTATATTGGTAGACCAGAGGTTAGCTTTCTTTCCCATTTCATTAAAAATCTATATTAAGCTGCTAGGTGTGGTAATCTGCCAGCACAGGTGAATTATCTCCACTCTGGATCGAATGGGAGATGGGATCTTGACTTGGTCCTTGGGGCTGTTGGATGAGGAAAAAATTGTCCAATTAAAGCAGTATACAAGTTAAACAAATGCATTATTGTGCCCTTTTCAGCAACATATTAATACATTTGATTACACTAGTTTTTAAAGCTGGAGATACAAGTGCATACCACAGTTACTCAGCCCCGGCTGTCTTATGAATTGCTAAACTAGGAAGACATAGCCTGCTACTTTTATGATTCCCAGGCAGTTTTGCAATCAATGTGGTGAAGTTTTCTAGGGAGAGTGATTATTTATTCTGAATTATGGTAATTACTGTTTATGTTATTATGTTCATTAGTACTGTTGCATAGCTTTGGTGATAATTGATCTCCATAGTTAACAAACTGACATAAAGCACAAATGTGATCTTTTGCATTACTTAGCAATAATTGTTATTAAATTTCTTATTCTTGTAGATAAGGTAGTCCTTGACCTATGACTACAATTGAGCCCAACTTTTCTGTTGCTAAGCGAGACAGTTGTTAAGTGAGGTTTGGCCAATTTTATGACCTTTCTTGCCACAGTTGCTAACTGAATCACTGCACTTTAGTTAGTAATACAGTTGTTAAGTGAATCTGGCTTCCCCATTGACTTAGCTTGTCAGAAGGTTGCAGAACTTGATCACATGACCCTGGGAGACTGCAGCCATCATAAATACATGCCAGTTACCAAGTGTCCAAATTTTGATCACGTGACCAATTGGATGCTGCCATGGTCATCAGTATGAAAAATGATCGTAAGTCCCTTTTTCTAGTACCATTCAAATTTTGAATGGTCACTCAATGAATGGTTGTAAGTCAAGCACTATCTGTATGCTGATGAATTATTGTTTTGAACACAGTAAAGTATTACAAATAAAACATTTTTCCTGTTTACATTAAATGCACGCTTTCTGCTTGCTTTATAATGTATTAATAGGAATGGCTTGGAAAGAAATCAGTAAGTATGTTTCATGGCAACTTGCTTTTCTCATTGGTTGACTGATATTTGAATTTTCTTTGCAGTCCCTAAACTTTTCCTTGTCAAGCAGCAAGAATGACAACAGTTTACTCAACAGAGGATTTGTGCACATAAAGGCTGAGAAAGTTCCATCTTCCAGAAGAAACCAAAGTAAATTCAGGGTACCAACTTTGGTAAGTATAGGTAGTCATGGACATTGCTAGATGCCACAATCTTAGGGATTTGAAAAATGGGATGCTAAAATCTGTACTATGCTCCTAGCAACTTATACGATTATAAGATCCATCTCTAAATTTATGAATCAAGAGTAAAGTCACCTTTCAGTCATGTTTAGCTTGTCTCCTGAGGCCTTGAATAGACATGTCTGAAGTTTTCTATGCCACAATGTGGAAGCAGTTTGTCATTGTGTCAACCAACTTTTGCACTTTGAAACTGATTATAAAGTTTGGTTAGCCATTATTTTTTAAGTAATTTATTTTACTATACAATATAATGGTTGCCACTGGGCAAAAATTCCACGGCAAAAATTCTGTCTTCCTGTTTAATAATTTCATGTCTGTCAATTACAAATGCATTGCTTTGTTTTTATTCTACACCACTGTGTATTCCATAAGCTTCATTCTCCTGCCATTTTGATGTGTGTGGTCTGGTTTGAAATCTGTTGTGTGATAACCTATTAAAAATGGAAATATTCCAAAGGTTCTTCAGTCAGTTTCTGTAGGAAAAAATAACCATTTTATTTCTTTAAGCAGGCAGTTACATTCTCAATGTATTTTTTAAATTTATTTGCTATTATCTGCTAGAGAAATAAGGATATGTTGAAATAACATCATTTTGGGACATTTACAAATTCTATGTAGCTGTGATCAACTTAATTTTGCAGTCTGTTGATAATCCATAATTGGTTGGAATCTCATACCACATTAAATTAAGTCTTTTGCAAATCTGTATTCATTTAGATGCATGTACAATGGATGTCTTTGTATTCTCTGTTTTGTAGATGTCCAATGCTTGGAAAACTGTGGCTTGTGGTGGTTCCAAAGATCAGCTAATCATGCAAGACAAAGCTTGCCAAGTCCTGGGTGTTTTGAAACATAATCACACATCTCGAACATTGATCCTATCTTGAAGAACCCTAATAATATGTAGTTCTGCTTATATATATATATATATATATATATATATATATATATATATATATATGTGGGGGAAGAGAGGAAGAGAAAATAATTGACTTACTTTTTCAGTGCAACTTCTCTTTTGTGACCTCTGAGATTTGAATTGTACTAAGTTTCTGATTCTAAGTGGGTTGTAGAAAATTTGGGCCTAGCAGAATGCCAAGAATGTGGCAGCCTTAAGAAATATCCCTGTGTACCTCCTAGGTAATTTGCGTAAGTGGAAACAACTACTGTTTTGTCTTTGCCTTCAACTGACCTACAAGAGGGACCTATGAGCTGAATAAATTGACACTGATGAGACAGCCCTGGATGTCTGGATCAAGTTAGTTTCCACCAACTCTGTTCAGCTTTGCAGAGTTGGGCAGACTGAGCCCAGAAGATGATTTGATATGCTATGAAAAATTGAAACCACTTCCTCAGAGCATTGCTGGCTAAAAACTAATAAAATCACTGCCTTTACCCTTTTGTCAGCATCTGTTGCTCCTTACTAAGATCCAGAATTACTTAAAAAGCCACAACATACAAACCTATTTTGTGTAATATTTCCGGGTCCACCAGAAGGTGCTGATGTCAACATTATTGCTCTAGCTCAGCCGAAAATAAATGCATCTAAGGAACAAGTCAGCTATCTGAAAGAAACAGTCTACTATTGGGTGCACATTCTTTTAGGAGACTTTGGGAATACTTATATATAAAGGTGAAGGCATTGGACATATTGCACAAGAAAAGCCACAGCCAGTGTAAATTTACTTCTGACAATGTCTGAAAGCCACATAAACTGTTTTGCTGCAGAAGAAGACATTGGTATATTCTTGCAAATGAAATGGGTCTCATTGATGTGAACAGTAAAGCAGGCACAGCAGTGGCTGGGATAAGCTGTGCCTTGTTTGGGGTTTGTGCTATTCATTTGAAGTGTATCATGGTGATTGGAGAGATCCTGCCAAATCATATTTGTAAACTGAATCAGCTTCCGGGTACCTGAATCTAATTGCAAACCTGTATTATTAGGGCAAAGGGTCATGTTGCTGTTTTGCAGGTTGATGTCCATGGTGCAGTAGAAAGGGAAACAGGCTATACATCCACATCCTCTTCTCTATTATCAGTGGCAGATACTTAAGCTTGCCTCTGCAAAATGTTTAATATGAACCTCAGTATGAAAGCCTTTCTCAGAACTACTTGAACATTTTAAATATGCATTTGCATTTAAATGTCAGTCACCTTATACGTGTCTTTGATATCTGTAAATCAATATCTTAATTGGGACCTTTGAAGTCTGAATTTCCAAGACTTTTTGTAAGGCAAGAAAGGAAAAATAGGGAGAGAAATCTGAAGAACATTAGCATGACGTTACACCACTAAGAATATGGGAGAGTCTTTAAACCGATATATCAAATACAGATATTCCAGGAAAGAATCAATTAAGTTCTCATTTTTGAAAATAGGAATTTCATTAGTTAAAATAAAAAACCTTTCCCATTTCTGTGAGATGCAGAAACTTTAGTCAATAGAAATAAGAAAAAACACAAGGCATCTCTTACGAGTAGCAAAGCCTGGTGATCATCTTAAATAGTGAAATTATATCAATCATGCCTGATAAGTTCTTGAAAATTCAAACTTGCAATTGTAAGTCTTCAAGTTAAGCTAATAATCTGTTTTGGATTTCCCTCAAAACTAGCAGTATCATTGATTTCTTTCATTATTTATGCAATCTAATCCACACTGCCATGATTGCTGTTGAGCAAGTCTTTATCTCTGTACGTAACCTACCTCACAGGGCTGTTGTGAGGCAAGCTGTATAGCTCTGAAGGAATGGAAAAGATACAAATAAAACAAGACTAACCTTTGGAAATCCTGCTGTCTATTTAAGATGCAAATGCTAGATCAGGTTGGGAAAAATTGGAGAGATTCTTTTGGGCTGAGTATTAGTGCTTCTGGAGACTTCTTACCATTATGGGATGGCCCTTCAAATATGCTGCGCTTCAGTTAACACATTACCCCCAGCCAGTTGATTATTAAAAACATTAATTGGCAACAATGCAGTTGAAGTCCAGCATATTGGAAAGCTGGCTGACATCAATGCATATTTAAGAATTGGGGTGGAGGTGGTTTGGGCTGGAGCTGTCTAATTAAAAGATTAGAAGGGGAGCATTAAATGCTATTGCTAATTCTGCAAATCTGATTCCACCAACATATTCTGCTGTATGAGCTTATTGCTTATAAAGGAAGATTTGATGAGCAAATTTCAAGGGGATTGAGCAGAGAGCTGGCTAATAACAAAAACAATTAACTTTTAATGGGAATATTTTTTGTCTGAAGACTGCCTAACTTTGTTTTCTATACCAGCCGGACAGGTTACCTTTTAGTGAATGTTGAGCAGGTGAGGCATGCTAGAGAAATTTAAACCATAAATGTGGATTACTAGTGAGAGCTTTAAGGAAAAGGCAAATAAGGATGTGAAAGCATTAACAGATCCCTGCAAGGAATAAAGATGAGCCACTTCATGTTTTCGGATAAACTGGGCTACGAGTAAGAATACATGTCTTAAGCCCAAGATACATGTGTTTTGTGACATCATACAATATTCTGCTTAGCATATTGGGACCAGTCTTGAAAAAGAATGAGAAGAAAAATTATACTTTATTTAATCTGCCATAAATTAAATGCAGTGAAGGATTGCTTCTCTTGAAATGAATGATTACAATTGTTGGAAGGTCTTTTTGTGATTGCCCATGACTTTGTTTCTGCCCAGATGTGCATGTGAGATTCCCTGACCACCTATCTGCTTTAGTATCTAGTAAGCTATTTCATAAGGAGATACTGTTGACCCCAAAATAAATTGTGCCTTTTTACAGTAAATCTTTCTAAATTCATATTAATGCAATACTTTTATTAATGTGCAAGATTTCATTTTTAAAGTTATGAGTCAAGGTATATGTTGGCACAGTGGTTAGAATGTACGGTAGTATTGCAAGCTAACTCACTGCTCACTGCCAGGAGTTCAATTGTGACCGGCTCAAGGTTGATTTCAGTCTTCCATCCTTCGGAAGTCAGTAAAATGGGGACCAAAATTGTTGGCAATATACTGACACTGTAAACCACTTAGGGCTGTAAAGCACTATGAAGAGGTATACAAGCTGTAGAAAGAAAAATCTTCATCAGGGTCCAGTCCAAGCTGGGAATAAACAAAATGGAGACTGCTTTAGAAAGAAGGTTGGAGTTTATTGAAGGGCAAGTCAGAAGTGTGGCTCTGGGAAAGCTGACCACATGTTGCTGGAAGTGGTGGACTTTTATACCTTCTGGGGCTCTTGAGGTTGTTTCCTGTTCCTGTCTGAGGTTTTGTATTTCCTGAGTCATGTACTTTGACCTGAGTCTGAGTGTGCCCTTTTGGTATTGGTGGGTTAATCCTATTATGTCCCCAAAGGTCATGTCTTTTAGAGTTTGGGTGCAGTATGTAGATTTTTAGAGGTCTTTGTCTTCCTAATCTCATAGCTTCTAGCTTCCTGGCTTTAACCTTCCTGAATGGATTATTAAAACTGCATTTCTAAAAGCTGGTTCTGCTGAGTTTTCTGGCTGGGGGGAAGGAGAAGTTTCTGCCTTTTAAAGATCTTCTTCATTATTCCTTTGGAGAAATATATTTTGCCTTTTTAATATTTCCCAATATATTTTTCTCTGGATTCTTCTCAAAAAGTCTAAGTACTATTGCTATTACAAGGCATACCAGCAAAGAATGACAAAATATGTCATATAATAAATTATTTCTTGGTCACATACAAAAGACATGTTTTGCAACAGATCTGTATTGTAAAGGTCATACAACTTACAGGGGCCCAAGTGACCTGCAAAACTAGGGAGGGGCATGGAAGTCTACAAAAAGATAAGTACTATGAACTTTAATTGAAAAAGTAATTTGCATCGCTATGGCCATACTTTTATCATAAATGAAGCACCTTCATCAAGAAGCATCCTTCCAGAGTGTGGAGGCATGTACAAAAGCCTAGTCACCTGATTGCTGAAATCTCTGCGTGTTGAAATGTACAGTCAGTTGCAACATTTGGTCTGAAAGAAGTGCTATTAAATCTTTTTCAACTGTTTTCCCCTAAAAGTATATCTCTTCCTAAGATTCAAGCTGTGTTTCTTTTGCAAGATGATATTTTCCCAGCCTTGTGTAGGGTATACCTAGAAATAATTCTTGTCTTAACTGGTGCACATTACTATGGTGGCAGTATAATTGTAATTGTATGGCCATTGTTGGCATCTGTTCACTATTGCCAATTACACTTGCTGGAGCCACTTTGCAGTCTTTAAAAAGTCACAAATACCCTTTTAAAGCTGTTGATGCTGTTGAGTTGTTCTTTATTATTGCCATTCTAACATTTTCATCTATTTTAAAAAAAATTGAAACTAAAACAGTCCTGTAGGGCTTCAGTTATTTAGGAACTTTTCTGAGTCTAGTAAAACAAGGAAATGCTTTTCTGTGGATGTCCTTGTTAGCAAGAGATTTGTATAAATATGATGAAAAAAGTAGGAGTTTGAACAGAACTTATCTGAAAACATCTTGATGAAGGAAGATAATTATTCTCTGAAACTACAGAAAATGCCTTGGGAGTATGCCCAGTTGAGTACTTAAAAATTCTGATAGGTGATCAAAATTTTTCGGATTCAGGGATGATTTGGAACTTAATTAGAACTTTCAGTTCTAGGCTAAAAAAAATATTAATTGGCATTTAGAAATATTTCATCTTACAGAATCTTATTTTTAAGAGTGTATTCAGAAATACTAAATGAAGATTTTAATGAAGATTTATTTTATTTATTAGATTAATACAAAAATATGGCAGATTGTCTTTCTGAGTGAGCTAAGTGCAAAATGGAAAACAAAACCTATTTCATTAAAGTTGTTTTGGCCATCCACTCCAGTAGACTCTGGTTCACTGATGCATTAATTTCCTTCAGGAAGAAAAGTTACTCTTTTTATCCCAGGATGAAGATGAATATAGCTGAAGCCACTGTCAAACTACTTTTAAGGTTTAAAGGTTTGGTTTAAAACAACAATACTTGTTTTCCAAATTCACTGCAGTCCACCAACACTCAGGAAAGCAGAACTTAACCACCTACAAAATATATTCAAGAATTATTGACCCAACCTCATTTCATTTAAAGGTTCTCTGGGAAAGAAACCAACAGAAAGACACAAATATACACAAAAGACACAAAAATATAACATTGATACAAATGCTATGAATGGCGCAAATAGTCATGGAAAAATGCATGCTCGGCATTACAAGACAAGATAGAAAGACCTGCACATGGATTAGAGAACAAACGAAAGTATATACACTATCATCAAAAGAGTTAAAGAATTGAAATGGAAATGGGCTGGTCATATAGCAAGAAGAATTGATGGCAGGTAGACCAAGGCAATCATAGAATGGATCCCACTTGATAAAAAGCATCCATGAAAGAGACCTAAAACAAGATGGATCAGCAAGTATTGCGGGCCCAATTGGCAAAAGAAAGCTCAGGATTATATTGGTTGGAAACAGGTGGAAGAGGCCTTCATCCTAAAATGATGATATAAAAAATACAGAACACACCAGCAGCCTATTCCATCCATTAGGCACCACACCAGAAACCTACAAGAAAGGGATTCTATGCAAACTGAAAGACAGAACACTGTATGAAAAATTTACCAAGATTGCAACCTGCACTACATAGAACAGATAGTATGCAGCTGCATCAAAGAATTAACCCATGCCTGCAATAAAGAACCAGGATTTCAAATTCTTAACAGCTACCTATGTCTTTCATACAAATCATACATTTGACGAGAATAATTGAATATGCAAACAGAAGGAGAGCCAGAGCATTCCTAGAAGCCCAGCACTTCAATATCTGGATCATAAACAAATCTCTGGAGCTGGATACGATCTACCATCCAAGCCCCAGAGAGCAAACAGACAAGATAGACCCATCAAAATAAAAACTATCCCTAGCAACCAATTATTTGACACATACCAGGAAACCTCCAATCATGCCCCCCAGACTATCATTTCTACAAACATTTCAAGGAACTGTGGTACTGAAAAAGACTTGCTGAGACTGATCAGCACTGATCTCCTGAAGCCCAGAAAACCTGAATACTAACTATGTAGTTCTAACTATATAGAGTTCTCCAAAGCTTTTAACTATTTCTGCTGAAGTAAAAAACTCAGGAATCCTGAACTTGAAACAGATTCTCACATAACATAATAGATACATGACATAATAGAGCAATATTGCTAACGTGGAAACCAGATTTTGCACCCAACCTATTGAAGATGTCTACTTCCCTCCATATTCGAAAGCACTATTACACACAAACACCATCAAAGCTGACACCAGCCAGAGCATATAAAAACTCAAAGAAGTAATGCAAGATCGGAAGATGTGGAAAGATCTGGCCAATAGAATAACCAAGACTTGGACACAACTGAATGGATAACATCATCACACACAAAATTAGAGCTGAATTCACTTATTCTCCCGCCAATGTGTTAGGCACCAGCAATGTCCCTTTTGATTTTACTTTGGACATATAGGTCAAAGTTCATGCAAAAGAATTAATGCACATAAGTTTGACATTAGAGTTCAAAACAAGGACAAAAAATATCAGGGCATTTTAATTTCCCAGGATATCTAATCACAGATTTCAAAGTGACAGTTTCAGAACAATGAAACTACTCCAACATTATAGAATGAGAGACTGCCTAACTCATATGCATCAAAAGGTTTCAGGCAATCTTTGAAGATCTCAACAAACACAATGGATTTTTAATACATCACAATTGCTAATTGATGAGGGATGATAAATGTTTGGCCCTGGCACATTATGCCAAGGGGTCTTCAGTAACCTCCAGCCTGAAGCTAAACAATATAGGGATATGCAAATACATTATTGCTGCCAAGGATCTACTCAAACACAGAAACTTTAATTTGTTTTTCAGTACCCACTTCACCCTGCAGTCATTTTTATTCTGCAGAGACATTCTCTGGAAGAAAAGATGATAAACACTGGAAGAAATATTTCATTGTGAAGTGCTCTTACCATTCTGCAAATCAAGAATAGAAAGAACAGTTCATTTGCTATGATCCCTCATAGCGAGAAAGAGTTTGTGGTGGTAGCAGACCAACTAGGAGAGGTTTAGGTTGCTGTAGAAAACTACAGAGGTGACCTTGGAAAAGAAAATCAGCATAGGTGAATGAAGACCAAGAATGGAAGAGGGCAAGAATAGAATAAAATATTTGGAAGGCACCAATTACCTACACTTGAATTATTAATTGAACCAAAATTAGCTTAGCCCAAAGAGCAAGTTAATTTATAAACCATAGCTAAACTATTTTGGGGGTCTCAAAGTCCTATTCTGATTATTGTCCTTTTAACCACAGCAGTGGTTAAAGTGCAAAGAGTTTTGATTGCTTCTAATAATATCCATTTATGATTAACTACAGACAGAGGAGGAGTTTCATGTATTTATCATCAAATGGCACCTAAGATTCATATTGCTTTGTGAGGTGCACTTCCAGTTGGGCTGCTGAATCAGTTTCTATCTTTTTGAAGCCTATTTTAAATCCATGGGTGATATGATACAATTGAGGCTAGAGGAGGGGTGAGACTGCTTATTAGTGGAGTTTAGCTTTACAAAGATGTGCCAGTAGCATTGTTCCTGCTATTGCTCCCAGTCCATTGGCATGTTCAGCAATTATTTTTAGGGACTTCCTTGTATATCAGGTTTCCTGATTCAAGACAACTTCCAGATCAATGCTCCTATCTTCCTTCATGAATAGAAATTTAGAATGATTGAAGATGACAATCCAGGAATGTGAATATGCAGTTCTCTGGCAGAGGCCAAATCACAAGTCCTAAGATCCCATCTAGCATCCTT